ATATAATATAAATTTTAATAAAATTTCTAATATTTTATTAATATTATTATATTTTATAAATTATATATAATATAGCATATATATATATATATATATAATGAAACATGAATTAATGTATGAAAAGTAATGAAAATATGAATGAATTTGTTATCATTTCGATCATACATATCTTTTTCAATTTTCCAATTATTTACAGTTCTTATCCTAATCATGTATATCGGTAATACATTTTACAAGACGATTAAGCATGTAAAGAAAATGATCATAGGTCGACGTTTAAAGTACCATGCGACCTGTAAACCACGTGTCTACCTCAACAAAAATGTCAAAGTTCATTTTACAAAGGCGTCAGATTAGAATATGTCAAAAGGTTTCCTATCGATTCAACGTATATATATATATATATATATATACTTTTGTATATGCATATAAGTATATATGTATCGTGTAATATTATATGAATAGAGAAAGCTCAGAAGCCAATGTGGTTAAAATCCATTTTTTTTTTTATATATATATTTTTTTATTATATTGTCAATTTGTAATAAATAATATTAAATAATATTGTTTTTAGTTATATTTAAGAAATTTACCAGCATTGCTTTTTCATCTGGTGAAAGGTGAAAGTCTTTCATTGTTTTTATTATCCTAATAAAGTTATTATAACATTATTTAATTACAAAACATTAATTTTCTTTTATTTTTAGTATTTTTAACCATAATCATAGTAAACTATAACTAAACTAAACTTTGTTTGCTATAATTATTTGGTTTAAAGTGAGTTTAATTTTGAGGTTAGAATTCAATGATATTCTCTTTTATCGTCGTATGATTAATTGACAATAATTTTATTCAATAACAAAAAAAACAAACCTAACCTAATAATAGTTTCCTTTTTTATTTGATTCATTATTCAAGTTTAGAATTAACAATGGAAATTATTTCTAACCTAAAAAAAAAAAAAAAACACGTATTCTTAACCATAACCATACTAAATTTTATTTGCTATAATTTGGTTTGAAGTGAATTTAATTTTGAGGTTAGTAGTATCCAAAGATATATATTTATTTAATAAAGCATAATATTAAAATGAAATTTTTAAACGAATTTTCATTTTATAATTGGATTTAACTCTGACGACATTTTGTGTTTGTTCATCTAAGTGGAAAATGTAAGAAATAGGGGGGGGGGAGAGGGGAAACAAGAAAATCACTATAATATGAAATTATAAAATCGCGTGCATAGGGAAGAAGAACGTATGAAAAGCTCTAACACAAGAAGGTACGAGTAGTAGGTACTACGCCCTTTACATTTATGTTGGTTGAGCCTGAATGGAGGTCACCATGGCAAAAGGGGATAGCAAATGTGGGCCAGAGAAGTGTCCTTCAACGAACGAAGTCAATGGGAGTACAACAGTTCGCGTATCGTACTTCTCTATACGTACTTACTAGACTATATTATTATTATTATTATTATTATTGTACGCATTGGCGTACTTGTCCTCCATTATTTTTTAACCCTTTTTTAACATCTCACATTTTATTTTTCGTTTCTTTTCTTTTTTTTTTTTTTTCTTCATTTTGTCGAGTTGAATAAAAAATCGATTAGGTAAATTGGATTATTATGTTTATCGTTCTAACTCGTGTTTTTTTTTAGGTTAGAAATAATTTCAATCGTTTATTCTTAACTTGAATAATAAATCGAATAAAATGAAACTATTATTAGGTTAAGTTTGTTTCTTTTTTCTTTTATTGAATAAAATTATGGTAAATTAATCGTACGACGATAAAA